TCGTCCCTGGGTGGGCTTGAACCACCAACCTTTCGGTTAACAGCCGAACGCGCTAACCAATTGCGCCACAGAGACTTATCTTGTAGGAATATGTGTTTGACGGGATAAATATTTAAGATGACATTCCTATAGAAGATAGCCAACCTTTTACACCACCAATCTTTATAATCGGTCCTACAATAAATTAGCTTCAACCTTTTAAGGTGTTCATCCCGTGTTGGAAGGAAGTACTGGAGTGATGATTACCAAGAGATTATCCTTACGTCCAACTGTAAACACCAAGGAACCATCTTACACGAGATGATGCACGCTACAGGTTTCTGGCACGAGCAATCGCGACCTGACAGGGATCAATACGTAGAGATTATGTGGGAGAACATTGAACCAGGTTATTTGATAAACGTATATATTACAAGATGTGCGGTTTCGGAAATACCCTAAACACAGTCACAATAATGCAGTGAGAGTGCAAACACCGAATTATGCAAATTCCTTTGTTTTCTGGTGTTTATCTACATGACATTGCGCTATTTTGCACTATTATATTAGTACTTCTTCATGCTTTTAGTGCTTGCTTTGATCACAAAATTAAACGTGTGCAACAGCTTGCACTATATACTACGCAGTTATGTTGACTTAAGAAATGTAAAACGGCGCGCGTGTCTCTGTCCTCTGATATAAACACGGTGGGAGTTCGAAAAACACGAGAGAAGCAAGCTTAGGAACACGCTAGCGTAGCGAGTGTTTCTCTTGCTTCTCGAGTGTTTTCCAACTCCCAACGTGTTTACATCAGAGGACAGAGACACAAGCGGCCGTTTTATATTTCTTTTATATTTCTTTTTCTTTCGAGCGAAAAGAAAATTTTGCCGGTAAGCCGTGTCTCTGTCCTCTGATATAAACACGGTTGTCAGCCAATCAGAGCGCGCGTTATATATCAAAAATTTTATAAATACTACTTATTAACCGAGAGTGAGGTCATTACAGGGAAATCTCAGACCGAGGTCTTGGAAGTATGGACCGAGCGATAGCGAGGTCCATACAAACAAGACCGAGGTCTGAGATTTMCCTGYAATGACCGAACGGACGAGGTTAATAAGTTATTTATTATATGGCTCTCTTAATAAAAAAATATATAAAATAAAAGAACGGAAGTGAATTAACACTTCCTCTTGCGCGCGCATTTGTTCATTCAATGTCATGTCCAGTGCCGAAAAAATACAACAATTTGTTTGAAAATGTGTTTGAAAATATAGCACAATTTATGTCACAAAACCGCTTTTATTCCACAAAACACGGTAATTTAGCTTAAAAAGTTTCAGAACATCCAAAAGTTTGTAAAAATAGTTGGAAAATACGTCAAAATTAAGACGATTGAAAACGTCAACACGTGCAGACCTTGCAGTGATTTTAGCGAATGTTCAACTTTCCTCGTCACTCTCGATTTTTCCGTTGTTGGATCTTGACTGTACCTTTGAAAATTTTGAACGAACAGTCGGATATTTTGCTGATGTTAGCTCCACCGAAAATGCTA